TGGTTTAGGATAGAGTGTGGAAACAAATATTTTTAGGGATCAGGTGGATATCACAAGTGAATGAAGTATACAGGGCAGGGCAGGCTGCATGTGAAATGGGGAGTGCAAGCCCCTAGAATAAGATAACTTCTATTAAGATAATTGTGGGCCTGTAGGAATGGCCCAGTGTGTTAAAGGGAAGTAGAGAATCAGGATCTCTGAGTGAATCATCCAAATTTTTCAGTAGTAACAACAACAATAGCAACAAGACAATGACAACAATGACAGCAAAGTATAGTGGGGAAAAATATCTGTAGTTAGGATCCTAGTCTTAAAAAAAAGTATGCCAGGAGAATGCTTGCTTCATTTTTTTTTCTTTTTTACAGTGCTAGGGCATGGAAAGCAGGGCTCATGCATGTTAAGCAAGTACTGTACTATTGAGCTATACTCCAGCATTTTAAAATTCATCACTTGCTACTCCCTATCCCTACAGCACCCCCTTCCTAGTGTCCTGATGCCTTTTTTCTCAGCATTTATTTGATTTCGATTGTTTCCAGCCTGAGCCTTATTTGCTAGCACTGAGGGAATTAGACGTATGAACAATGCCTTGCACATGTGCAGTGTAGCAAGAGAGAGGATATTTCAACTCTACTTCAGTTTCTCTAATTCACAAAGATGCCATCAGTTCTATCTTAGGTATCTAAGGTACCCAGGGATAAATCTCACTGAGGAGATTAATTTTATTTTAAAGACAAATTCCATGCAATCTGCATGCAAAATTGAATGCTTTTCTAATTAAGGATACAGGAATCACCTGGGGAGTTGAAAAACACTATTGCCTGAGCTCCTGCCTAGACCAGTTGCATCAGTACAGTATCTCTAGAGGTTGGGCTCTGCCTCTGGTGGTTTCAGATCATCCCCAGGTGACTCTAATGAGCAGCCAGAGGTTAAAACCCCCTGCGTAAGTGATAGTGTAGTATGATGGAGAATATGTAAAGCATTGACAGAGTTTGGTGTAGCTGAGGTAGCAAAAGTGTTATTGAATGTAATGAAAGACTGAAGAGAAGTGGAATGGATTTGTAATATGCTACAGCATTCTGTGATTTTTCTCTTATGGGCTTTACAGGTTGAATGCAGTCAGTGGGAAACTGAGATGAAAATAGGGGAATCCTTTGGGTACTGAGCCCAGCAGAGTGGAAAGCTAAAGAAGGTAGTGCTTAAAGAGTTAATAATGACTTTATTGAGCTAGGGAGAAGAAATTACTGGTGGTCAGATAGGGACTGAGGGAGAAAAGATCAGTGAGTGTGGGGAATAGAAGGAAGAAGGAGAGGGCCACTGTGATAGGAGAGCTTAGGGTTTGTTATGCTGGTGTGAATCCTTTGAGGACCTGTCCCTTTTGGTATAGCAGGAACCTCCTCTGATATTCCCAGTATTCGCCAACATTTGTTATATTCTGGAAATGCCAATTCATCCATTCTGGACCTAGCTCTTTTAGTCTTTTTAAATTCTCTTCTCCCCTACATCCACTAAACTTACTTCCTCGTTCTTGTTTGTTCATTCATTCAACTATAGTTACCACTGCTTTACTTTGATGGACTGGAAACCATCCAAGATTCTGGGGATACAGTCCCTAGTCTCTCTGCAACTTAGATTCCAGTAGGGATCTATATTGACATCTGCATATAGAGAAGTTAGGTAAATGTACATTCAGTTAAAATTTTAATAAATGACTAGGGAAATTCAGGGCTCTATGAAGCCTTATAACTGGGAAGCCAATCTTGAAAGTAGGAAGGATGAGTATGTCAGAGAAGGCTTCTCTATACAAGTGATGCTTAAGAAGAATAGCATGTGTAGAGATTCTAGAAAGAACTGAATGCATAAAGGCATAGAAGTAAGAGAAGACTAGATTATTCTATGAACCAAGTGAGGACCTGCTGTGGAAAAGCAGCAGCCACGTGAGTAGGGGTCCTTCAGGCCTGACTGCATAATGGGTATGATTGGGGGATGCTTAAGTGGGGGAGAGAATCTTTATTCTTTTCCTTTCTCCACCCTCCCCTTCCCTTCGCTTTCCCTCCCTTCCTTTTCTTTCCCTTCCTTTCCTTTCCCTTTGCAGAATATCCTATCACAGTCTTCTTACCTCAATCAAAGAAGTTTAATGGTAGTGTAATTTCCTCCATTCTACAGTAACAATGTTAAAACACAAGCTCACTTTTTTGACAAAAAATGAATGCTTTCTTCCTTGCTTGTGAAATGAACAATTTATATATTGAGGCATCCAGGTGTTAGTGTATTTACCTTCAGAACAACATTGCAGTTGGTTACATGCACCTACTTCCCACAAAAAAGCAATGACTAATTATGTGGCAAGTACTGGACAGACTCTCAGCTTAGAAAGGAGAGCTGATAAACAATATTTAACAACGGTGTCATTGACTGATATGAGGAAGAATGGTAGAAGAAAAATCTTGGAGTGAAGCCTCTCCTGGCTTTGCAGTTTCTTTCTTTCTTCTGTCTGAAAGATGTTGGAAGCCTGCTTTTCCCTTTCTTGAGCCCCTTGATAAGGAATGTACTCTTTCACTTGCTCAACTGTTTCCCTCAAACTCCTAGCAGGCTTTCTTGGTTACCACCATGACTTTTCCTTTCTCCTTCTTTTTTGAAGCCTCCATGACTCTCTGTCTAGAAGTCTGCCTCTTTCATGATAAAGCTTGCTGCTTATCCTGTCTCATGGACTTGTAATATAATTAGTGGCCAGTATGTGAGATTAATTTAAGGTCAATAACATTTGTTTTCCTCTTCTGTTGCTTGCAGCCATTATTGCAATGTTCTCCCTCTCAACCCTGCAATCTTTTCCTTTGAATCTTCACATCTTTAGAGCTGGTCTGTGTCACATAGATTCCAATAGATGGGCTCTTTCTGAGAGCCCTGGGAATACTGAAAAGGTTGTGCTTAGTTTTAGAATTGACTTGAGATTTGATGAGAATTGGACTGGTTTAAAAATCACAGAAAAACACATACTTACTATAACTATCTGAACAACTCAGAGTTTCTACAATAAATTGTGGGATATAAAAGTTAGAGTATCTCACAGAGCAGATGAGTGAAGGCTTTTCTAAGATAATGGCAAAAGGAAGTCCCATGCCAATTGCTGTGCTTCAGGCAGAAAAAATAGCCAGCACAGGCTGGAATAGGAGGTAGGATGCTTCAGAGAGATAAAAGCTGATAAATTATTCAATAGATTTAATTAATCTTAGAAAATTATATTGAGAAACACTTTTATAGAGCTGATGGAGGATGTAAGAAGATGTTCAATGGAAACAAGGCAAAGGGAAAATGAGGCAATTATCAATCCTAAGAAAAAACTTAAAGCAGTTTGAGAAGGAAATCTAAACATAGTCACATGTTGGCTCAGTTATAAACAATGTTTCTCATGATCATAATGATAAAATCATTAAATATGTATTTAATTGAAATTGATGAGCATTTTTTCATGTATTTATTTGCCATTTGCATTTCTTCATCTGAGAATTGCGTATTCATCTCAGATGCCCATTTTTGGATTGGATCTTTGAATTTTGAAGGTCTGAGTTTTTTTAATTCTTTATATGTTTTAGACAAGAGTCCCTTGTCTGAGAGAGAGTTCACTAAAATCTTTTCCCAGTTTGTGGGTTTTCTTTTCACTATGCTGGAGATTTCTTTTGACATGCAAAAACTTTTTAATAAGAAGTGGTCCCAGTTATTGATTCTGGGAAGTATTTCCCGTGCAGTTTGAGTCCTATTCATGAATTCTCTACCTACTCCTATGTCTCCAAGGTTTCTACCCAATTTGTCTTCCAATAGATTTAGCGTTTCTGTTTTAATATTCAGATCTTTGACCCATTTAGATTTTAATTTAGTACATGGTGATAGACATGGGTCTAGCTTTAGTTTTCGGCAAATGGAGAGCCAGTTTTTCCTTACAGCTTTGTTTTGCCATATTTGACTTTATTCTCTCCCCCCCAAGAGAGTAATGAGAACTGAGGAGTAATAAAATCCAAAATGTGTAAATTTTGTTATAAAAAAGAGAGGGAGGGGAAAAAAAAAGAGCTCTAACGGATATAACAACAAGTGTGTTTAGGGATGTTAAATAGCTGACTATATTAATGTTTTTGGATCATTGAACACAGCTGTTTGCAGTCTCTCCGTTTGAATGTCTACTTTGTATTCTTTGATACTGTGATTTGAGCAACTATTTCCAAGATGATATTATGTAATCTATTAACAGGTGATTTCTTACTGTTATGTTTTTTTTTTTTGTAGTTCTGTATTATGTGTAACCTTACACTGCTTTGTTTTGTTTTGTGTTTTTCTCTTTTTCCTCTTAAATTAAAAAAAAAAAAAAAAAAAAAAAGAAATTGACTTGTATTTATGTTGCATGTATGGGGTAGGAAAAGAATGAGTCTAAAAAAATCATAATAGGAAATCAACAAAACTGTGTTGGGTACCTCCCTACTTTTGTGTGGAGAAAGGGTAGAATGGAAATGCGGAATACAAAATAAGAGATTAGTTACAATTTGACTTAACCATTTGCAGGTAAAATTGATAAAAAATTAATCAAAAGCAGAAAGATTGTAGTAGAATGACATATTCTGACTTAGGAAAGTTGCTTAAGAGATACTGTTAAGCAAACAAATAACAGAATAAAATGAGATAAAAAAGATTTTAGAATTTTAGTAAAGAATTACTATTTTAATATAGAACTATTGTTATCTTTGTGATTTTAGTGGATTTTTGTTTGTGGATTACTTGAATTATTTAAAGTAAGCATAAATATTTTTGTGATAAAACATACTAAAATGTATACTATTTCTATTAAAATACCTCAGCCACACAAAAAATCAGGGAAATCTTTCGAGGGGGAGAGGAACATTATCTTTCATGTGGGGTAAAAGACTTTGTACATGTTCAGTAAAAATTCAGTTTTAAAAAGTATTTTCAATCCAAAGTTGATTTCTTGTAGAGACAAAATTCACAATTACAAAGGGTCTGTTGTATTGTCTCATTTAATTCTCACAAAATCGATTACATATTCATTTGTTGAACAGTTTTGCTGAATACTTGTGTCTTAGTTACCTTGCTGATCCAACACCCTAAAAGGAAAAAGTTTTATTTGTTTCACAGTTTGTAGAGATTTCAATCCATAACTGGATGGCTCTGAGGCAGGGTGGTGTGGCAAACACGCCTCATGGAGGAAAGTATTCATGGCGGGTAGAAGGCGACAAAGCAACAAGGGGACTTGACAGCGTCTTTCTGCCTCTGGTCCCCACTATGAACCTTTCCTTGTCCCTCTCCTTTTCTGAAGCATCCATGACTCTCTTTCTTCAAGTCTTCGTTTTTCCTGATGAAGCTTGGTGCTCATCCTGTTTCATGGATTCATAATATAATTAGTAGCCAGTATGTAAGGTTAATTTAAGGTAGATAACTTTTGTTTTTCTCTTCTGTTGTTTGTAGTCAACATGCTGCTTTCTAAAATTTGAGACATGGTTACCTGATGAATTATAATCTGCAAGCCATAACTCTGTTTCATTATCAAAGAGAAAGTCAATATGCAGGGATGTTATCCAAAGCATGTTTTATCCTGGAGTCAACTGGAACTCATCACTTGGTTCATATGCAGGAGGTGATGTTTCTCCTTAGGAGTTTGCCTGGGCCAACAGGTTCGAGTCTCAAGACTGGAAGTGATGGTCCCACCTAGGATTCAGTTTCTATTACCAGGCAGAAAACCAAGTTTCTTCTTTTTTGTTGTTTCCAATGGAATCATAAGATCTGTCTTTCTGGATTTTCTTTGAAGTGTATCTGCAACTTACTTGTCAATATAAAGGGCACTTGCACAGGAAGAAGTGGACTTATTCTATAGAAACAAGAGGAAAATAAAATAGTTTAATAAAGACCAGAACCTCAGCCATCACTTCATGGCTATGGAGAGATGATGGGAGAACCCTAACAGGCAGGTATTAAGGATACTGAAAGCACAAAGCAAGATGAGGTTACAAACAAGTAAGTTTATGGAGAAAGTTATGGTTTTACCTGTTTAAAATGATTAACTGTGGAATAAATTGTAGCAGAATCATTGTTTTTTGTATGTGGTAGGATATTCACTTTCTGTAAAAAGAATAATATATATATTTGATTCACAGAAACAAAAGAGCCAAATCTATATAATATATACATATATCCAAGATATCTATAGCTATCTATCTATCTATCTATCTATCTATCTATCTATCTATCTATCTATCTTGGTGCCATGGCTTGTGTCTAGATATTTCTCCAAAGCCTCATGCAGTCATAGGTCAGGCTTTTTCAGAGGTGGCTGAATCTAAGTGTGTGGTGAATTCATAGCACAGTGCTATGAATTGTGGGTGATTACTAAATAAATTCACTGATAGGCTTGGTACCACCCTATTCCCAGTAGACTGGATACAATGTCAGGCACAGATAAAAAGCTTATCTTGCCCCCTTGCTTGCTTTGTTGACTTCTGCCAACCATGAACTCTTTCTTTTCTGCAATGTCCCTTTGCAGTGCCAACCTGCCTTAGAGCCAGCTGACTATAGACTGAACCTCTAGTGTAAGCCAAATAAACCTTCCTCCATTAACTTTGGATGTTGGGTATTTTGTCTCAGTAATGAGGAAAGTAACTAAGATACTTGGAAAAGCAATATGACAAAAGAAGAGATATATCAATTTTTTGATATATCAAAGGACTGTTTAGTAAGAGGAAGTAGACACCAAATGCCACTAGCTCAGATCTACAAAACTATTATGGCATCTTCTGAGTTCCCAACAAGAGCAACAGCCCAGTAAATCAGAGGGCTCAAGAACCAGAGAGAAAGAAACAGAAAGAGTGCTTGTTTTGTGAAGGGAGGAAGTACTCTTGTCCTGCGTCCAACTACTCTTGCTCCCTTATTTTTTAAGAACTATCCTGTATAGCAGGTGATTACTGCATTATGTCTTTTGTCCCAGGTTTTTGCTAGCTACTAGTGGAGCTGGTGGTGCTCACTTCCCTTGCTCCACTTATCCCTGCCCTTCTATCTGGTAACCATGTTACTGAGGTCTTCTCAAGCATCAGAAATTGGCAGATTACAGACATCTGGCCTTCAGAATGGTGCTATCTGAATATGTAGTGCAGTTATAGCAACGGAAGTCCTTATGCAGTTTGAAGCTCTTGCTCATAGATTCTGACCCTTTAAATTAATGAAAGAATATTTAAAAAATTATTAAGACCTCAGAAACTCTCCAAAGTGTAAGGCTTTTTTTTTTTTTTTTTTTTTTTTTTTTTTTTTTTTTTTTTGCTAAAGAAAATACTAACAAGTTGGCCAGAGATTAGGTTTTTGATTTGATGGAAGTGACTCAACAGAAATTGGCAAGCGAGAGTATCTCTTCATGTCCCCTCTTCAAGGAACCTACTTCACAAGTGCCTGCAAGGGGCAGAGCCAGGGCAATTTGGTGGACAAAGACAAGATTCTCAGCTGGGTTATCATTTCCATTACTTTCACAATGCTAGGTTTTCTTGGTCTGTTTTTCAGAAGACATGAGAGTTGGCCTCACAGAATGGACTGTGCAGTGTAGCACATGCTGTCACGGGTTCCTGGTGCTTGACCGTAACAGGTCATAATGGGACATCCTGCAGTATTGCTAGAAGAGAGGGAAGGAGTCCATGCTGCTCATGGCCTCAGTGTCCCCTACTATAGAGAAGTTGTAGAATTTCACTTTTTCCATTTTTCTCTAAGCTGCTCAAAAGTCTCTTGCTCCAGCATGAGAAGCTCCCTGCTTTGGGACTCTCTTCTTTGGAAAACTTTAAACTTAGAGGAACTCTGATCCATTCAGCAAGTACTACTGAGTGTTGTGCTGAACCGTAGGAGAAGAGAAAGAAAGATCTAATTTACATAATTACACTGCAGGTTACACTGCAGGGACAAGACTTAAGGGTGCCCAGAAGCTAGAGAACAGCAGAAAGTGGGCAGAAATATCTATTCCCTTAGGGGTGATCACAAGGACATTCGAATGGTCCTGCACACAGCGTTGCGCCTCTGTGGCTTCCTTCCTCTCCTCTCACTAGTGAATGCCACCTGGTTCAGTCAGATGCTTGTGGCGATTGGTTTGTGGTAACTGCGGTATGAGCAGAGACAGCAATGGAATCTAAAGGACCTACCGGCTGTGAATGAGTGACCTGCGCATACACTGTGCTCCCCGGAGAGATGGAAGCAAGCTCTGTGTTGTCCAAGGGCCCTGCTGTTAAAACAAAAAAGCATCATCAGTGACAGCACACTATGATATCTCCCCCAGATCTGTGTCTTCCCCAGAGCACCTTCCCACCCAAATAAGCAGTGGTTCCAAGCCTCGCTCTTTTTTTTTTTTTTTTTTTTTTGACAGTTGTTGGAGCTCTGGGTTGAAGCAGAGCATTTTCAGTCTACTTCTGACCTCACCTCTTGGATGAGGGGTGACCTTGAGGTGCCCTGAAGCTTCAGAGTCTCCCTCAAGCCCTATATGTGGAGAACAAAGTACACAGTTGACAGAAGAGCTGGAGACCCACCAAGTATAGAGCAGCCAATGAATCCCCGTGTGTAACATCCTTAAACTTTCAGAGGCTTTTAGGGTAGATTTGACTAACTCAGAGATGAAGAACTTTTGGCTTGGAAACCTCTAGTGACTTGTGTAAAGTCACACAAGAAATGATAGGACAGGAACACAATTGCTTATTTTCTGACTCTCGACCGCATACTCTTTTCTCAACACTGTGCCTGGATTTCTCACCCACAAAATGAGACTCAAAGCTGATCTGAGTCCAGAGCCTGTGTTGCCATCTCTGTATCATACTTTGTTTTTCATTTCTATATCACAGTGTGTCTTCCTCTGCCCGAATCTTGGCCAAACACCAATGGTGAAGTCAGGCAGCTTTTGTCCTTTGATACTTAGATCTCACCCCGTCTTAGATTTGCTGAGTGGCAATGGACAGACCATGAACCTTTTCACTGTACTTATTTCCATCTGAAGAAAGGGAAACAACCCTGATTACAATATGGGAAACTGAGTGAAGGACCCTGCAGATCTCATGGTTACAAATCATCTCTGCTCCCACCATGGGGTCCCTCTGAATAGTGATGTTCTGACTCCCTTCTTTCATTATCCAATCTCTGTTTAGCTGCTCTCCACTTTCATTTGGGTCTCTCTGTCTGCTTTGTGATTGCCACATACGAGTCTGAATGCTCACCGGGACGCTGAGTAGGCAAATGAAGGGCATCTGAAAAATAAATTTAGGTTATTACAATCTGTGCAGCGAGAGAAACCTTTTACTTCCTTCCCTGGGAAGCTCTGTAGAGAATGTGGGTGAGGGCACTCAGCCTATGGTCCCTCTTTTCCCAGTGAGATGCCTCCCTTAAGACATTAGCAGACACACTGTCACAGCCTGGGAGTCACCCCAGTGACGAAGCTGAGCCGAGGTTTGCATCCTCCCTCCCTTCTCCTGTCCTCCACAACAGATCCTTGGCAATCAGAGGCCACAGACTGCAAACTTGAAACCAAGGAAGAGAGGCAAGAAGGAAGGAACTTGCCTGTTTTTTTCTTGCAAATAATCATCAATATAAAGGTGATTATAAGTATCACACAAATTATAATCCAGGTTAGATTTTTCCAGTGTAGATTGTCTTTAGTTAAAATGTCTGTAAAGAGAAAACACAAGTGGAATTTCTTGAGACAGATCAGGTAAATCCCAGAGTGTTCTTTCTAAGGCCTTCACTGAGCCCTTTCTAGGTTGCCTGCAGGAGGTGGCTGGGTGCTTCTTGCCCAGAGCGTTGGGGCTCTGGCAAGCTCTCTGGGGAGTGTGAGTTGGTGTGGTGGCAGGACAGGGTGGGCTTCATAGAGACAGGGTGGTGTGGGAAAGGCATCTTGCCTTCCTCAAGCCTTTGTTCTTAGAAGAGGATATAGGGATCAGGAGATAGAAAGAAGGAGAAATCTTTGTGGGGAAGTGGGAGGCACAGAATGCCAGCCGTGCTCTCCCAGCTCCTATGTGGCTACCTCCCATTGCCAGTCTGAGACTCACATAGCATGTGAGGACATGCCACACCCCACAGCTTCTCAAGACTCTCAAAGAGACCTGAGGACAACTGTTACCTTTGCAGAGATTCTTGGCAGAGACAGGGAAAGATACATTGCTGACAGAGTTCTTGGCTGTGCATACGTAGCTCTGGTCCCTGGAATCCTTGGAGTCCCAGGAGACGGTGAGATTTGTTTCATTTAGAAAGATGTTTTCTGAGAGCTGCCACTCAAATGAGACACTATCATCTGGGTTCTCTACATAGCAAGTCAGGTGGATCTCACAGGTTCCATTCCCAGATAATTGAATGTGATGAGAAACTTGTAAGTTGTGCAGTCGTTCTGTACACAGAGGAAAGACCAGGGTTCAGAATAAATGATTTGAATCCTACCTATTTATGTTATGTATACCATATCTGCTTATGCCAAGGTCTCTTGTGTTGCCTAATTGTTGCTAGCAAGGTCTGAGGTGACCAAATGAAGGGAGTTTAGTATGAAACAAAGTAACAAGTGGAAGAAATGGAGCCACCAACTATTTGTGTAATTTAGAGCTGGACGCTTTAACTTTCTAGGGTACCTTTTAGTGCTTGGACGCTGCTCCTTGAAAAGGCAATGTGGCGATTAAGTTGGTGGCCCTGAGGCAATAGCAAGCAGGCAAAACTGGTGAGCACAGAGACAAGATTATATTCAGCCATTTGAGAGGACACACAAGACACAGAAACTCCCAAGACCAAATATTAGCAAACACTGTCAAGAAGATTGTCAGTTACTGTGTATCAGTGTGGACATGAGAACAAGACAAATAAATGTCCCTCACTTTGTCTAGTCTGAAGTAAAATGACTCCCCAAAAAGCAGAATGACTTCAAGTCTCTGATTAGAAGACTGAGTAACGCTCTAACTTTAATCAACTGAATAACAGTTGAACAATTATAGATAACCTGCTTATGTCTTGTCAGAACAGAAAGGATCGGAAAGATGTTGGATTGGAGGCAGGATCCTGGCTTTATCATTTACTGGTTACATGACTATGGACAATTTATTGATATATCCAGGGCTATATTTGTTTATCTGGAAAAATCAAACAATGATACCTACTTTTCAGGTAATTATGAGGATTAAATGAGACAGTGCCTAATGGAGATGGCAAATATTTGGCATGAATGCCATCTCTCATCTTATGTCCATAGCTAACCTCAAAAACCTATTGTTGCATTTTACCACTTAATAAATATATAACTGTCTGTTTGAAATTTCCATTTGGATATATCTCAAATTCATAAACCCAACTGTTTTTCTAGCTCTGAGGATTGAATGCAGGGCCTTCACACTGAGCTATATATATATATTTTTAGCCCATTTTAAAATTTTGAGATAGGGTCATACTAAGTCTCTGAATTACCCAGGTTGGGCTCTAATTTGCAATACTCCTGCCTCAGCCTTCAGAGTGGTGGGACTATAGGCAAGTGCCACCACACCCAGCTTTAAATCCAACCTTTAAAAAAAGACTTCTGCTTTTTTGTCCAAAACCTGCTCAGTCAGTAGCCTTGTCTACATTAGTACATGACAACTATAACCTTCCAGATATTCAGGCCAAAAGCCCAGAATCATCTATGATACATCTCATCATCTCATCCTACCATAGAAGTAGTTCTGGTGACTTTACCTTCAAAATATATCCAGATTCCATTTTCTTCTGACTTCTGCTAGTCCAAACCAGCATCAACTTTTGCCTATATTATTGCAGTGACCTCCTAATTGGTCTGTTGGTCCATTGTCTCTCAACAAAGAGGCAAATTGCATTCTTTAAACAGCTAATTTGAATCATATTATTCCTGAAAAAATCTCCAATGGCTCTCAACCTCACTAAGCCCAGAAGCCAAAGCTTTGCTGTGACTCTCAGAGCTTTATGTGTTGCAGCTTCCTATTTCCTTTCTGATTTAATTTCCTGCTGCTTCCTCACTCACTGTGCTGCTTGATGCTCAGCCTCCTTGATATTCCTTAAGCATGCTAGGTACCTGTGCAGATGCCTCTTCCTCTAGGCATCTGCACGGTTCATGTTCTTACTGCTGACAGATGTTGGCGCAAATGTCACTTTTCCCCTTTAAAAGTAATCCCTGGTCCCTGGAACTTTTGATGTTCCTTACAATGCTCTAATCTCTCCATTGCTGTCATTGTCTCTGTCTCTCTTTGTATAACTCATGGGTTTTTTGGACACATTGTATTACTGATTTATTTATTACACATACTATTTATTATCTGTCTCTCATCTCCAACCAGAATATCAGCTCCTCAGGCAGGGATCTTTGTATGCCTGATGTATGCCAATTATCTAGAAGAGTGCCTTATACAGAACATTATCCATGGCCAATAATATTGTTGACTTAATGCATAAGTGTGGTATGTGTTCAACGTCTTTCTTAACATCAAATTCTAGTCAAGCACTCATAATTAATTGGTATTTGTCTATAAAAGTGAATTGTTGCTACCCCTCTCCTGGCACATACAGAGTGATTGGTCAGTGTCTTAAAAACAAATACCTATATATTTCATCTTCTGGAATTCCTTTGCTCTACTGTAAAACAAGTTGGTGTAGCTTATGCATCTCTTAGTGTGTATCCAAAAATTCTCAGAAAAGAGGTTGGCAATGAGAGCAGTTGTTTCAGGGGACGTCATGCTTCATCTTCTCAGTAGTGTCAGAAGGGTACTCTCTCTGCAGATGGGATGCAGTGAGGTACGGCACTTGTTCCCCATCTGTCCACTGTATGTGTCACATTTCCTCTCAGGGTCCCAGCACTGCGTTTTTATCACTGACCACCCAGAGTGATCTTCCTGTACTTGTTTGAAGGATGATCCCTCCTCCCCAAGATATGTCCATGTCTTAAATCTCCAGAACCTATGAATATTACCTTATTTGGATAAAGGATCTTTGCAAAAAGAATTAAACTAGATGAAACTATCCTGGATTATCTGGGTGGGTCCTGAATCCAATAAGTTGTTCTCACGCAAGAGAAAAACAGAGGAATATTTGACACAGACATAACAGAAGAAAGCACACAGAAAAGCAGACAATGTGACACAGATGGAGACTGGAATGACACAGCCACAAATCAAGCAACCAGGATGCTGACAGCAACCAGAAGCTGGAGGAGGCAAAGAACACAGCCTTCTAAGTGAGGTCTCCAAACGAAGTGCAGCCCTGTCCAAAACTTGATTTTGGACTTCTTATTCCAACAATGTTAAAAGAATACTTTTTTGTTTTTTCAGGATAGGAAGCCTGGGATATTTTGTTTGGGTAGCTACAGGAAAAGAATACATGCCCTGAATCCATATTCTTTCCAGGACATATCATTGACTAATCGAGCAATGTGGTAAACTCATCAAAGATTGTAGGGATACTAGAGATTAACAAGTAAGTGAAATATGAAGCTGTTTTAACATTGATTTTTTTTAGCCCTTTGGGGCTTTTTGGTGGGGATTACAGAATTTCAGTGGTCTTTAAAGTTGTCATTTCTGATGGTTAACTTAATGCTTGAAACTCCTGCCATGTGATTATCTAAATCCCTTCATCATTGTTAGGTTTTTTGTTTTCTTGTTTCTTTCTGAGTTAGATTCATAAAGTATCTCATTATAGTTTTCATAATTTTATGTTGAGAACATTTTCTTTCTTTAGTCTTGAGGAAGCAAGTTTTTTGACTAGTGGTCAACAACATGAACCATCCTGGGAAAATATTGTTAAAAATGCAATAACTTTTCTTTTTTATTGGCTCATTCATAGAAAGAATACTCTAGGGAGATTCCTGCTCTGTATGCAGACCACTCTAATAGGTCAGACCAGTATTTGGGGAAAGTGAGGAATTGTGGCAGGCTGGTTATGCAGGAAGTGATACCACTTACGTTCTTTGTGAGAGGGGTGAGTTACTGTGACTGAAGTTCTGCCTCAGGGATAAGGACTGTACTTACCTCATGGAGTCTTTGTGAGGAGTACATGACAGATACATGTAGTGCCTATGGTAATGGTACCATAAATATTAATTTGGCTACAATTGTAGTTGAAAGGGACCACGTTGTTGGATGGGGGGGTAGGGGGACAGAGGTGATTCTGGGTGAAAAACCACAAAGCTAAAAACAAAACCAAAACACAAGACTTGGGTTCTATTGAACTCTGCTACCATCTGGCTGTGCAATGCCACTGACATTGGGGACCCTTGTTTGTTTAATTGCTGGATCTCATTTTGACTCCAAATGCTATCCTCTTTATCACTAGGCACACCTGGAGTCACATGGGATTGGAATATTTATATATATTTTTTGGTCCATATACAAGTAAACCCCCATTTAGACTCACCAAAGACTCTTAGAGCAAAATCAAAAAACAAAGTCTCAAAGGTGAGCGTGTTTATCTGGGCCCGGTAAGGTCCCGAGTCTTTCCTTGTCAGGTTGCTGAAGTGTAAGAAACAGGACTGGGTGTAGTTCATCTTCTTGTTATTTGCAGGATTGAGAATCAAGGTATTTGTCATTTCAGATGGTTGGCAGATGCCGATAAATGTCATATTGTAACTCCAGCTGACTGCTTGGATCTTCTTTTCTGCTGGAAACTTTACGGGAAGAGTTACTGACTCCCCGACAACCCCGTTCACCACCATTGTGCTTGAGCTGCTCTGTGAAGCTGCATTCCCTGTAGACACAGAAGGAAAAATCTATAAAACTGTTCTTAATAACTGTCCCTCACCCCTTAAGTCTGCCAGTCAGTCACCGATCTCCAATGTTGGGCCTAAGAACGTTGGACACAGAGCCAGGTGTGGTAGCACATGCCTATAATCCTAGCATACCTGCATAATCCTAGCATCGTACCTGCCAGCCCTCCCTGCACAAGTTGTCTCAAAATAAAAAAAAATTTTTTTAGAGGACAAAGGATATAGTTTGTTGTGAAGGCCCTGGACCCCATCCTGAGTAGTACAATAATGACAACAACCAAAAAACCCAAACAACAAGAAAATTGCAACCATAACAAAACAAAAAAAATCAGTCAAAAATATTGATGGTGGTAGAAGTCAAGAGAGTGGTTACCTTTGAGAAGGAGACAAAAGTAGGGGCAGAGAAGGTGATGTACAGAGGGGAATTAGGGTTTCTTGTAATGTTGTATGTCTTAATCTGTGTTTACTTGTCAGGGTGGCAGTGTCCTAAGTAAATCTAAAGGAGACAGAAGCAGTGGTAGAAAGAGATGATAAAGTACTGTGCTAACATAAAATAATGAAGAAGATAAAAAGCATCATTTCTGAGGAGAAGCCTGAGCCATTTTTTGAGAAATGGGTCTATTGTGACTTTACGATAAAAAAGAATAGAGCTAAAGATATCAAGAGGTTTAGAAGTCGAAAGGAGAGAAATTGAGACATCCCACATAAACTGGTCTCAAACTTATGAGAAGCACATGTGATATATCCAGGAAGAACATGGATACAAATAGATAATTGTCCATGCTAGACTATACATTAGGTCACAGAACAAGTCTCAATAAATTTTTAAAGACTCAAATCATAGGAAGAGTCTTCTCTGACCAAAGTGGAATAAAACTAATAATCAAAAACAGAAGGGAAAATGGAGAATTCACAAATGTGTGCAAGTTAAATGAAGCTTTCTGAAACAATCATTGGGTAAGAGAAAAAAATCATAACGGTGGTTAGAATACACAGTGTCCTGAAACAAGTGAAAATCAAAACACAACTTACCAAACCTTATTAGCTATTACAAAGCAGTTCTCTAATGAAACTTTATAGCTGTAAATGCATGCATTAGGAAAAGGATAGGAACTGGGTATGTGGCACATGCCTGTAATCTCAGAATTTGGGAGGCTGAAGCAGGAAGATTGTCATTAGTTTGAGACAACTTGGGCTTCATGGTTAAGTTCAAGATCAGCTGAAACTGAGCCAGTGTGGGCAGGGGCCAGTCCTGCTCCTGCAGGCTGTTGCCAACATCGGAAAGCTTGCTTACTGCACACAGCCAGGGTGGGCAGGGAGATACAGCCAGATCCTTTCCTATATGCCTGCCACACTGGAAAAATTGCCTCCGTTAAGTAACCAGCACAGGCAGGGAGAAACAGCCAGATACACATTTTGTGCCCACAGGCCACCACTGGGGACCCTTGTTTCCTTTGGGCAACCAGTGCCTCCAGGAGAATCAGACAAACACACCCCTGTTTGCTTTCTGCCATTGGGGAAGTCCCGGTGTAGACACACAGGCTGAGAGAAGAAGCAGCCCAGCCTGTGCACTCTTGGCTATTGGGGAAATCTCAGTGCAGCTGCATGGGTTTGGAGAAGCCCAACCTACACCTTGTTACCTCCCTGGGAACCCAGGTGCCTGCCCATTCCCTGACACCACAGCAAGGCAGCCAATGTGGGAAGTCCCTGAGACCCCACAACTGGCTTGTAGGGAGGAACTCAAGAAAATGTCAAGATGAAGGAGCAAAAGGCAATCTCAAACCTCCATCCCAGTAGATTAATCTGGGAGACATGGACATGGAAGGATATGGAAGTTACACACCTGAAATCCCTGAGAAGATAGCAGCTGAAGGAAACAAACAACTTCATGAGGCTAAAAAAGTAATCAGATCAGAAATAATATCTCAGGTAAAAGAAGAAATCACAAACATAATGAAATGATTGCTGAGCATATCTAAAGAAGATATAGATAAAAAAGAGGAGCATAGGCAAATGATGGAAACCTTGAATGAACAATATAGGAAGAAATTATAATGCATGAAACACATTCTAAGAGATATCCAGGAAATTAAAAGCTCCATCAAAAGCTGGCAAAACCGCTTGAAAGAGACTGAAGATAGACTTTCAGACTCTGAAAATAGGATTACAGGCAGCAATCGTGAAAGATCTATTAAAAATAACAAAGAATGAAGGAATAATTCGATGGCTGCACGATGATGCAAAAAAAAAAATAACTTAAGAGTGATAGGTACCAGTGAAAAAGCAGAGGTCAACACACATGACATAAAAAGACTATTTAAGAAGTAATAGTAGAAAACTTCCCAAACACTGGAAAAGGATCAGACATACGAATAAGTGAAGCATATAGAACTCCAACTAGCCATAACCAAAATAAGCCTACACCCAGACATATAATAATCAAGATCCCAAAAATTCAACACAAGAACAGAATATTAAAAGCTGTTAGAGAAAAGAAACAGATTACCTATAAAGGAAAATCCATCAGAATGACAGACTTCTCAACACAAGCTATCAAGTCAAGAAGAGTTGGAGTGAAGTGTTTAAAATACTGAAAGCAAGCAATTTCCAACCCAGATTAATGTACCCTACAAAACTATCTTTCAAAATTGATGCAAAAATAAGATACTTCCTTGATAAAAAACAATCAAGGAATTCATGACCACCAAACCAATCCTACAAAGACTGTTGAAGGATATTCTAGAGAGAGATAAAGATGACCATAGTTCCAGGAACAGCAGCAGAGTGGGAATACCAACAATTGAATGAAGGAGAAAAACAGGGGGCCAAAAGTAGGATAGCATGGCAGAGAGGAACCAATGAATGCCTGTTATAACCATTAATGTAGATGACCTCAATTCACCAATAAAAAGAAACAGGGAGAATAGATCAAGAAACAAGATCCATCAACATGCTGTGTACAAACAATACATTTAACTCTAAGGGAAATTCACAGATCAAAAATCAAAGGAGAGAAAACAATTGCTCCATGTGACAAGAACAAAAGCAGGAGTAACTTGACTACCAACCACAGAATGGATAAGAAACATATAGTATTGGCTGGAGATTTAACTCAGCAGCATAAGCACCTGCCTGGCAAACACAAAGTTGTGAACTTGATCCCTGATACAAAAAAAAAAAAAAAAAAAGCATTTTTATGCAATGGAAAGCTACTCAGCTCTACAGTAGGATAATTTTGAGGCTCCTGTAGGTAAATGGATGCAAGTTGAGATTATGCTCATGAATGAAATGGTTTGAACTCATATGGGTGAACATTGTGTTATCTCCTAGCATAAAAAACTGGAGGAATTAGTGGGAACCAAAATGTACAATAGATATTATGAAAGTGGTAGGGGAGGTAATACCTAAAAAGAAGAAGTGGTAACCACTGTTAATTTCTTATTATCTTGTTTGAAATTCATATGCCATTTTCATAGTTTTGTTAGGTTTGGTTTTATTATGTCTTGATTTGTCAGATTTTACTGTGTCTGATGGTATGGGTAGCTATTTTGAATGTAATGGGATGTATTATGGTAATTGTTGATTTCCTGCTATCTTTTTTAAAAGTCCTGTAATGCTTTCATTCTTTTGTTTTGCTTGGTTTTATTCTGTTGTTTTAATTTGACTTTATTATGTGATAGTATGGACAGCTATTGTGAAGAAAACAGAGATATTATGGTAGCCATTGTTTATTTCCTGTTGTTTTGTTTTGAAGTCCTGTATTGCTTTCATTGTTCTGCTCTGATTTGTTTTATTCTCTTTAAATTAAAAAAAATGAAAAAAAGGCCAGCCAGAACTACATAGTGACATCATTTCTAAAATATAAATATAAATATATGTTTTTAATCTCAAATCAATATCCTATCTTTACACCTTAAAGAAGTGAAAAGGTCGACACTAAACTAAGAGCTATTAGAAGGAAGAAAACAAGTTTTAGATCAGAAGTAAAGAAAATGGAGAATAGGAAAACAATATAGAAATAATGAAACTACAATAGTTCTTTGAAAAGATCACAAAATTAGTTAGATTGGCTAATCTTAAAAAGTGAAGACTCAAATTACTAATATTAAAAATGAAAGTAAGGCCTTCGCTATGGACTTGAAGGAAATAAAAATGTTTATAGAAGAACATTATGACTGTATGCCAACAAACTGGATAACTTACATGAAAGAAGAAAATCCCTAAAAATGCACAAACTACTAATTTCAACTCATAAAAAAATAGAAAAATCTAAAACTTTATAATAAGAAAATTGATTTAATGAGTAATCAGAAAATTCTTGAAAAAGAAAAGCCATATGACTTCACTAACTAGTGAATTTTAAATATTCAAAGAATAATTAAAGCTAATTATTCTTATACTTCTTAAACTGTCCTGAAAACAGAAGAAAAACTTTTAAATTCATTCTATTACATCAAGGTTATCATAATATAGAGGCTAAAGAAAGAAAAAAGGAAGAAAGAAAGATAAGAAAATTATAGCTCAAAATCCCTTATGAATATTGATGCAAAAATCCTCAACAAAACACGTTGAATCCAAAAGCATATTATGGGGATTATATATCATGGCAAAGTGGAATTTATCTCAGAAATACCAGAACTCAGCATATAAAATCCAACCAATACAATGCACACACAAAAAGAAGGTATGTGATCTTCTCAAGGTAGGACAAAAAATTTGAAAAATTCTAACATCATTTAATATAAAAATGTTTCAGTATCTATAAATAGGAGGAACTTCTTCAAAGTGATAAAAGGTGTTTATACATATATTTTACTCTAAGATGGAAAACAAAACGCCTTTCACTAAGATCGGGAAAAGATGATATCTCTTTTCATTGCTTGTATTCAACATCATACTCAAAGTTCCTGCCCAAGATACTAGATGAGAAAAAGAAATAAAAGATATCTTAGTTGCAAAATACTCATAGACAATGTGACTT